GAGGCGCTTGTTTCAGCGCCCGGGTGGATGCCGTGGAGCGGGGATTTCGCCTTGAAGACGCTCTACTACGGGGAGTTTGAGAACTCGGGGGTGGGGGCGAAGTCGTCGGAAAGAGTCGGGTGGAGTAGCCAGATTCCAGCACAGCATGTTTTCAGTTACTCTGTTGAGAATTTCATTCAGGGAGATGAATGGATTCCTTCATCACGGTCTGCTGATGAACCACCAAAAATGTTGGACAGAAAAACCAAAATTGTGAAATTAGATTAGATTTACAGATTGCTCTTTGTAATTACAGAGTTGTCTGTCGAACTGAAAATTATTAGTCAACACATAAAACTACCCAAATTAAATACTCCACATCTTCTTCTTACCAAATTTGGGTGATATTATCATATATTGTAGGATTGGGGAGTAACTTTTGGTTGAAAAATATGCATAAATTGATTCAAATGCTCTCGCGTGCTCCGACCAACAAGTCAGAGGTTCTTGGTGATAGTTAAAAACGAAAATACTATTTTTGTTCCCATACTTTTTAGTTTTGGTTCATTTTATTTTCTATACTTTGAAAATGTTTATTTTTGTCCCTGTAATTTTAAAAAGAGATTATTTTAGTTTATCTTTGCTAGACAAATTTTACACATAGCATACACTACTTAGTATAAAATAAAGTTTACATTTTAAGAAATATATTGATTGTAATGTGGTGTTAAAATTGTGATAGAAAAAATGAGATTTAAAATAAATCAAATGACCAAAATAGTCACTTTTTAAAATTACAATGACCAAAATTAATATTTTTAAAGTAGAGAGACTAAAATGAACCAGAATTGACGGTACAAGGACTAAAACAAACATTTTAAATTATAAGTACTAAAATGTTCCAAAACTGAAACTATATAAAGACCAAACTAGTATTTTAACCTAGTTATAGCTGCTAGTAAAAAATTGAAATAAAGAGTGGTAGTAAGTATGACGAGGCTAAATGATATACATTATTGTTATCCCTATGTTTATAAAGTGCTTCCTTACGTTTCAATTTTTGAAAGATACGCGATGGATAAGTAAAAATATCAATTGGAAGAATAAATTCAATAAATTTTTTTTTAAAGAATTGGAATTTTTTTATTCATCTATTCTTAGATGATCCGAACACAAATTTTGTGGCATAAGTAAGAAATCAATCCATCATCTGTCTCTCTATCCCGCGATTCTGAATCAACTGATTCATTGGACAACTTAAGAGTCGTAAAAACTAATATCCTTATTATAAACAATTAATTTATAACCTCCACATAAATATTATTATGAGAGAAGAAAAAAGAAGTCCAAGGGATAAGGTAGGATGTGAAAAACATTGGTTGGAGTTGGTTTTCTTTGGCAAGTGTTTGGTTGAGGTGTTTGAAAGATGTGAATTGGAGGGGTCCAAAATGGTTCACAATTGTCAATTATGTTTAGGTTTTTTGAACTCCACTCTCATAAAACTAACAATTATGTCTTGAAATTCATAATTGATTTAGTTCAATGTAGTTTAAAATTAACCATTTAGTCTTCAAATTGTGGCTAATGGATTGTTTCAAAAGAGATAGTTGACAAATGTTTACTTTTCTTTCCTTTCTAGTGATTGATTTTATTTAATGTAATTAATTGAGACATTTATTATAGATCAAATTTTTTAAAATCAAGACATTTATTACACATATGTCCAGCACTCTTCAATATTCTTTAACTTCCATTAGTCACTTGTTTGACAAAGCTTTAATCTTTACCATTTCTTAAAGATTAATCAATCCAGATATATACAATATTATACGGTATCGTTGGACTTTTTTTTTCTTTTTTCTTTTAATACAACGTGTGGAGTGGAGATCGAACTCGCAATTTTTTGGTTGGTGATATATGCTAATTACCACTGAGCTACGTTCGTTTTTGTTGGTTTCGTTGGACTTAATCTATTCTTGATTAAATTATATATTATATATATCATGTATACCCAAACTCATATGGTCATAACAACACATTAATACTAAGCATGTTTTATGAGCTCACAAACTATCCTATTCAAGGGCGGATCTACAGTAGGTCAAGTTCCCCCTCAACTTTGAAATGTTTGAATTATATACAAACTAATGTCCCAAATGAAAATAAAATTTGAGATTGGCATAGTGGAAGAACGGGCCAAGTCCCCCCTAAGATGCCAGCGTTTGAGCCTCAACGCACGATCAAACTTTTATGAATTCTAAAAATTACTTATTTGTAAATTAATTGAAGCCCCCTCAACAAAATTTCTATTTCTAGATCCGCCACTGATCCTATTCGTGCAATACTAGACATAAATTTTCATTCTCATTATTTAGACTCACAATTACTTGAAGTAAGTATGCTCTTTTTTATCATACATGGCCAATAATACCCAATGTATATCTATCAGTCAAAGTAAGCGTAGCTCAACGGTAATTGACATTATGTCTCCAATCAAGAGGTTGTGAGTTCGATTCCTCATCCCCACAACACATATTCATGGACATATATAAAATCATACTCCAACTAATAATATCTTAAAATGATGCGTCGACAACATCGTTGGGAGATCCCACTGCTGACGAAAAGAATTCAAAAGCATTGGGAAAATCTCCCGACACTTTTGAAAAATGTTGGGAGAGGTCTACTTCTCCTTATGCATCTAAAAAGTGTCGGGAGAAGTAGGTAACTCTCGACAATTTCTTTTCCGTTGAGAAAACAAACGTTGGCAAAGCTAAAAATTCTTGTTGCATCATATACCACTCGATAGCACCCCATAAAAATACTCTAAATTCATAACCCTCCCAAGAAAAAAAGGGTTATTACATTTGGAACTTCATATAAACTAAACCCTCAGGGGATGTTTGGTTCCTCATTTTCAAAATGGAGAGTTAGGTTTGTTAAGACAAACCCACATTTCTTTCACAGTTTTATAAACTCGAGTTTGCTACAGTAAATAGTATTTCACCACCCTAGGTTTGCTACAGTAAATACTATTCCACTCCTTAGGTTGCTACAATACTTATTCCCTACTCCCCAAATTGCTACGGTACTTTATCGTACTCCCTAATTACGTATATTTTGTGTTTATTCTCTTTCTAGAATGCATTAATTTTCTTAATTAAATATATTAAATAAATGAGGAAATTAATTAATTATAATTTTAATTATAAATAAATAAATCGATTTAATTAAAATTATATGTAATAAATAATTAATTCATATATTGAGGAATTTTTCTCTAATTTTTTTTTCCAAATGATCCAAGAAAAAAATATTTTTTTTTCTTGGTATCTATTTTTAGCTTTTTTTTTCCATTTATATAATTGTTCTTTTTGTTTCTACCATTTATTTACTTTTTGTTATCACATTCACATTTGTAAAAGACGTTATAATTTTGTATAATTATTTATTTTAATTTTATATGAAGTTAATAGTTTTTAAACAAGTATTATTTAAAAGTTTTTCACTTTGTAATAAAATGTTATTGCTAAATAAAAATAAGTGAAATTTATTAGTAGTATTCATGATAATTAAGTAATCAATTTTTTTAGAATAATAAGTAATCAAATTTACTTAAGATAGTAAATAGTGAAAATTTAAATAAATTGTTGATAACGTTTTCTCAACGGTAAAATTTATATTGAATGAATTTGTATACTCTTATTTAGACTTTGATAAATACTTGAAAAATATTTTCATAGATAATTATATATTTATTTTAAAAATTAATCATTGGAAAAAAATTGGATGGACAAATGTATTAAAAATCTTTTATATATCCTTAAAATAGTATTTCCTAATTTCATAACAAAAATTCACTTTTGTAAAATAATTAGTGTATAAATTATATTTTTTAAAAGAAAATTAAAACTCAACCAACCCAACACACCTTTAATAAAGCCAGTTTAACAAAATAAAAACACAGACTTAACAAATTCAAACTTAACACCAACCAAATGCATACTTAACAAGCTCAGACTTAATAAACCTATTTCATGCACCAACCAAATACAGACTTAACATAAAAACTCTTGAATGGAAATGGAAAAGAGATGTAACTTCAATTCCTTCGAAAATGGTAAGATCTTTGGCACAAGAAGGGGTTGATCTGTATCATCTTGACTGGGTTCTAATTTCTCTATTTTTTTTGATAATACCGACCCGTATCGAATAGAACAGGTTGAGCCAAATCTTATTCATGTATAATGGAAGATATCAATTTTAATGTTTGTCCGAATCTCATTAATAAAGAATCAAGTTAGCCAAAATCGAGCATAGCTCAAGTGGTTAAGGCACATATCTCTGACTAAAAAGTCAATTCGTATTTTGTGTTTGTCTATAATTAATAATTGTAAGTCTAGTCATGGTAGTTTATCTTTATTTGGTTGAGAGATTTTAATGGCTTGTCCTAATTTTATCTTTTAAGTCTTCTTTCATTAAAAAGTATATATGTAATTAGTTTGAATATTTGAATTTATGTATTAAATAAGAAATATGAACCGTTACTAAATGCTTAAAACGATACTAAACCGACCCTATTTGTTTAAGGTTTGAAAGGATAACGATAATTTAAAAATCCACACTTTTATAATGGACATATATGATAAATAACAATTTTATATGTTTATAGCATAGCATGCTTGAAATTGGGGAGTGGGGGAAAAGAAAGAATATATAAAGTGGATCCAACAGACAACCACTATCGAAGAAAATGACACTGACAAATGGCCATTAACCACATGAAGTGCTCATCCAACTGTGTATTAATGACACTTGAAATTGTGCCTCCCATTTTTCCCCAATACAATCTTCTATTCTAAACAATTATATGGACATATAAACAACTAAGCAGATTGATGGATACTATGATCGATATGTGACACTCAAGACTAAAGAGGGAGTAATTATTTATTCAAAGAAGGCGTGCAAGTAGACTAATCACTACGGTGAGATTCTAATTCATAAATTTTTGGTCGAAGATTGATGTTTTAACCCATTGATGAACTATATTAAATTTTTGGTAGATTAGGCAAGTACAAGAGTATGTGAATTAAAAAATAAAATATGAGATTTATATGGGTTTGATGTTAATTCTATTTTTGTCTCTGAATTTAAAATTTATTTCTGATATTCTCTAATTCTTTTTAACAAATTATTTAATAACTAGATTTATGATATATGCAATTTATATAAATTTATTTGATGAGTAAATATTTACATCTAGACAAGTTTTTAAAACTGTGTTATGTTAATTAGGTGTCAAGTTGTTAAGCTACTTTAGATTTTATTGAATGATTGATAAAAAATTAGGGACAAAAAATAAAATAGTCTTTTATATAAGGTAGGCTGTTAAAAAAAGTAGAGGACCTAAAATAAAATATTTAAAAAATATTTATTAGAGATGCTTTAAAATCTACCATCAAGAATTATGAGCAAGTTGCCAACAAAATTAAAACAAACGAGTCAAGTTGTCAAGGATATGGCAGCTAACCTAAAATATTTT